ATGGGGAACCTTGGGATTTGTAGTTTTCTGCCTCACCACTCTCCAAAAGAACTACAAATACCAGGATTCCCATGGAAGGAGCCACGGACAGTTAAAGTGGTGTCAAGTAATTGTATTATTTCTACAGCTCAAACTATTCTGAAGCAACAGGCTAATTGTTTAGTTCCCACAATGCTAATATTTTATCCTGTATTTTTTGGGGGGGAGTTTGGGATTTGTAGTTTTGTGCCTCACCACCCACAAAAGAACTACAGATCCCAGGGTTCCCAAGGAAGGAGCCATGGACAGTTAAAAAGGGGTGCCTATACCTCAAATGTCAGTTATTCCTATTCTGAAGCAACAGGCCAATTATTTAGTTCCCACAATAATAATGTTGCTAATATTTTATCTTATAATGGGGGAATGTTGGGATTTGTAGTTTCACCAAGATCCCCCCTGTTTTGGTGGTGCCTTCCAAGAACTACAGATCCCAGGATTCCCTAGGAAGAAGTTAAAAAGTGGTGTCAAGTTGCATTATTTCTACGCCTCAAATGTCTATCCTTCCTATTCTGAAGCAACAGGCCAATTATTTAGTTCCCACAATAATATGATGCTAATATTTTATCTGACCAAGGGTCTGGTCACCAGCCGTGGACCTCCTTTTGCCCCCAAATGGTGGCCAATTGCATTGAAAAGGGGTCCTTGTATCCCTATGGCAGGAGTAGGCAACCTTTCCCCTTTAAGGGCCAAGGGACTACAGCTCCCAGAAGCCTCAGCCATGTTGGCCAATAGTCCCATGTTGGCCAATAGCTCCTGGGATTCTGGGAGCTGAAGTCCCTCAGCCCTTAAAGGGGAAAGGTTGCCTACCTCTGCCCTATGGGGACCCAAATCCATGGATGCTCAGGTCCCATTAAACACAATGGCAAACCTATGACAACCCTATGACCAAACTATCCTGGGGTTTTCTTGGCAAGATTTGTTCAGAGGAGGCTTGGCATTGTTGAGGCTGAGAGTGTGTGACTTTCCCAAGGACACCCAGTGGGTTTCATGGCCGAGTCGGGATTTGGTGTTGTAGTCCAGCTCTCAAACCACTCCATCATGCTGGCTCTCCCTATGGTTTTGTATATTTGTATACAGAATCGTTAGGAAGCACCTTGTTACTGCAACAAGTTTTGTTTAACAATGGAATTGATCAAGTCATTCCCAAACTTTGGTCTTCCAGATGTTTTGGACTTCAGCTCCCAGAATTCCTGACTGTTGGCCAAACTGGCTGGGACTCCTTGGAGTTGAAGTCCAAAACATTTGGAGGACCAAAGTTTGGGAACCACTGGAATAGATTGTCTCCATGGGATGGACTCTCCTTGGTGTTTTTTTTGTATGTGACTTCAGGTCATTTCCAACTTATGGCGACCCTAAAGGGAGCCTATCCTGAGCTTTTCTTGGCAAGATTTGTTCAGAGGAGGTTTCCTCTTGCCTTCACCTGAGGCTGAGAGAGTGTGACTTGCCTGGGTTTCATGGCCGAGCAGGGACTCAAACCCTGGTCTCCGGAGTCATAGTCCCAACCACAGACCCTTATGCCACACTGGCTGTTTGGGGGGGGGATCTGGATACTTGCCCCAAAAACACCCACAGAAGGGGTTCTGCTCCCCATTTTTTCCATGGACATGAAACTACTTCTTGTTTCTGAAATTGGCCAGGCAAGCTGAGAATCTGAACCCTGCACCCCATTCCTCTTGGCTGCTGCAGGTTGGTGTTCCAGGTTGGTTACGGAGAAGAAGGAAGACATAGTGCTTAAAGGGTTGGGCCTTGTTTCTGGTCCGTCTAACTCAGTGGCTGGCAGTGGTATTCTCCCTTTTCCCTTTCTAGGCTGGCCTACCTCACAAGAAGGTGGTTGTGAGGATGGAGTTAGAGTAGGCAACCATGCCCTGTGTCCGGAGCTCCTTGGAGGAAAGGTGGGATCCAATTCATACTCGTAATTCGTATGCCTAAGCCAGTGTGGTGGAGTGGTTTGAGTGTTGGACTATAACTCCGGAGACCAGGGTTCAAATCCCCGCTCAAGCATAGAGACCCATTGGGTGAGTCACAGTCTCTCAGCCTCAGAGGAAGGCAAGGGTGGCAAACCTCCTCTGTGCAAATCTTGCCAAGGAAACCCCATGATAGGTTTGCTTTAGGGTCGCTGTAAGTTGGATATGACTTTCAGGCAACAAAATGTAGTTTTATACAGCTGTGTTTCTCCATAGCTTTTTTCTTCTTACCAACTTGGTTGGTAACAGGGCTGCATTTATGGGCCAGCTCTGGAGGCAGTTCTCTGCACAAAATAAACTTGGGTGAAAATGTTAAGTGCCTGGCCCCAAGGAGCTTGCAGCCTGGATTAAATCAGTTTAATTGATTCTCCTGCCTGGCTGAGGTTAGATGAAGTGGATCCTGACTTGGGAACGGGTGTGTTTATATAGGCTGCCTTCTCATCCTATGTATCTGAACATACAAAATGTATGTGGTTTTGATCTTTCTTCAAGTCCATGAAAAAGACTCAAGGGGTCCACCCAGGAAGATGGAGGATGGCACATATTTTTTGGACAGTGAGAATATCAGCTCTCTCCTTGACAGAGGATGAGATTCCAAGCCAGGCTTGCAAATTCTTCTTTTACTCCTTGCATAATAGCACCCCTCTTTCTCCTTCTCCTCTTCCTCTGGGGAAGTGCAGAATCCGGTATCGGCAATGGCTGGAATCCTGAAGGGTGGCATATTTTGTGTACTGTGCAAATGCCAGGGGAAAAAGCTGACCAAATTCCAGGTGTCTTGGATGAGGAGAAAGATTTATTTTTGTCCTGCATCTTCTTGGTTTCAATGGGCGCTCTCCAATCCCTGGTACCCAAGATTGAAGGTGGTTGTGTGTGTGTGTGTGGTTAAATATATATATATATATATATATTTAAATATTTATATATATTTCATATTCTCCAGTTGCCCGAAACAGACAGCTCTGGTTGCACCTGTCACACTTTATTTCCTGAGTGAATATTCTAACCTGTCCAGTCTTGTCTGTACGGGGAAAGTTTGCATTTCATGGATGATGTGTTTTGAAAGTTTGGCGACGCAAAACAGTGGGGACGCTATCTGGGATTTCCTTCAGAACAAGAGGCGAAAGGTGTACCTGTGAGGGAATGACTTTGAAGGGCTTCTGCATCCCTGCAAGGATGGCTAAAGAAGACTTTGCAGGCTGTTGACTTGCCAATTTTTGGGGTTGTGCCCCCACTGCTTTGTGTCTGGATGAATGGAGCATTGCCTTCTTGTGTTTTGCTCCTCCGCAGGTGCCATTGGAGCATGGGAATGGCTCGTTGTGTGGGGCCGGCACCTGCTTTTTCTCAACACCGAGACAGCCAAGCGGGTGGATGAAAATAGTGTAGCATAAGCTTGCTGGAAGGGCATTATTTGGGAAGCCAGGGCTGTTTGCCTGACCTTAATTTAGCACCTATTACTAGAAAAGTGCCAAGTGTTCTTCTGGGGGACATGGATGTCACCGTGTGGAAATAAATGGCATTTGGAAGTGACAATACCGAAAAGCTGCATAGAGGAGCTTGGTGTTTTGTGTGTGTTTGGCCTTGTTGCCACAGTAGTCTTCAGGTTTCCTTGCAGACATCAACCCATGTCTTTACAGGTTGAATCTTTTATCCGTAATTCTGAAATCCAAAATGCTGCAAAATTCAAAACTTTTTTCATGGGAGACTGAGATAGCAACACCTTTGTTTTCTGATGGTTCAGTGTACCCAAACTCTGTTTCATGCACAAAATTAATAAAAAAATATATATTTTGTATAAAATTACTTTCAGGCTTTGTGTATTAAGTGTTTATGAAACATTAATGAATTTCATGTTTAGACTTTGATCCCATCTCCAAGAGATCTCATTATGTAGATGCAAATATTAAGAAATCCAAAACCCTTCTGGTCGCAGGCATTTTGGATAAGAGAGATCCAACCTGTAATTTGTATGTCAGAGATAAATCCAAGTCCTTTTTCGTGGTTTTATTATTTTTATCTTATATGGTCTTATGTATTTATACCCCGCCTTTTTCCCAGACCTGGAACTCAGAACTGTTGACCAAAGGTAAAACAAATAAAAGTTCACAGTACAAAAAGTTAAAATATAACTTAACTACTAATAGGATTAAGAGTAAACAAGAAATATAGATGGCACAACATGTTATTAAAGGGACTTTGATCATGAACAATCACTTCTCAAAGGCATGTTGAAACAAAGAAGGGCCTGTGGAAGGATAGTTTTTCTGGGTTTTTACACACAGGGTACTTCTGTGCTAAATTATGATTAAGCAGCGAATAAGTGTGTAGTTTTAAGAGGCTGTTCTGAGTACCAGAAGGTCCCTGGTTGAAAGCTTCCTTCTGATATGGACTTAGTAGCTGGCCTTGGGAATGTCTCCATGTTTCTCCAGCTGAAAATCTACAACACGAGGATAATAGTATTTACAGGGCTGTTAAAATTGCACATGGCGCCTTTGAAGCTTTCTGTGGCATAGAAGCTAACTATTATCCATGCCATGATGGCTGTATTTCAGAATGTGATTGTTCCACTTGTGAGTCTTTCTTAAAGTGTTTTAGTGGTGTGTTGGGTCAGTTTCAGGCCAGCAATCATGTTAAGTTATACATGGAAATGCCTTCCCTTCAATAGTTTGGTTGCATTTGGAGTGCTTATTCTGGATTGTTGGAAATGCAGCCTGGAAGATTCGGCTGTTTTCCTCCTCCGGCCAAAATAGGTCACTTGGTTCTTCTTGGAGACCTGCAGCTGTGCTCTTGCACATTGATTGATACCTGCAAGGCTTTGTCTTGTCCAGGAGAGATCTTGATAGACATCTATCTCCTCTTTTCTTGCTTTCCACAGAAACCAGACATTCATGCATTGAGAAATGTACAAAATTCTGTGCTAGATGTGGCATTGTTTCATGGTTTCCCCGGTGAAGATGATGATGAACAACAATATTATTCATGCCCTGATTTTACAGTGCTGAGTGTAGTGCTTCTTTAATTAGGAACGGTGCTTCTCTTCAGTTGTTGTCAAGCTGTAGCTCTTGAGCTTCTTTGCTGTTGGGCGATGCTGGTTAGGGTTTGCGACTTGCAGTCCAATGTAATCTGGAGGGTGGCATGGTTGCTAGCCATGATCCAACAACTGGCCTCATTGCCTGTTTTTACCAGCACCTGTGTTGTTGTGAGTGCTAGAGTAGCTGGGATTTATAGTTGAGGGGGGTGCTAAAGATTTCTGGGAGAGAATTGTGGATGTCCCTCCGTAAACTGCAAATTCTAGGGATCCATGAGATGGAAGCCTGGCAGTTACAGGTACTGAGTACTTTCTGGTCCCATCTGTTTAGCCAGGGGACTGTAAAATGCTCTGTTTATTCTCTTAAGAGCCCTTCCACAATGCACAATTACAACACTGCGGTACTATCCCACCATAACAGCCAGGGTTCTATCCTATGGGACCCTGGGATTTGCAGTTTAGGAATGGGACATTCTCAGTTCTCTCCCAGAGAGCTTTAGTGCCCCCCAACTATAAATCCCAGGATTCCAGCCAGTCCCAGCAGCCCTAGCCAGGATTACCCAACGGCAAGGAAGGCTGAGAGCTGCATGCTGACAGTATCTGGAGGGAAGCATCATTCCCATCCTGAATGGGATTCATACTTGCTCCACACCTAATTAAAGCAGAACTCCCTGCAGCCAGCATTGCTTAACCCTCTTATCGGTCCAAGTGACCTTACTCTTTCTATTCTTCCACCTACACCTGGTTTCATGCCCCCCTTGCGCCTTCCTTCCTAGGTTTTGCTCTAGCTAATGTGAAAAGCAAGCCTTCTGGATAGAGCCATGGTAGGCGGAGGGCATTGCTCACGATGCCGATGCCGTACAAAGGTCTGCGTAGGAAGGTTAGCAAACTGCCACCTGAGTCTTCTGGTCCAGAGTTGTTTTGCTGGCTTTCCACATGGGGGGAGGTGAGCCAAAATTAATGCTCCATTCTCTTTTTTCAGAAATCACACCCTGGCATTTGTTCTCGGGTTCCTTGGCCAAGCTCCAGTACCTTCTTGATGGTTGCATTAATCCTGCTGCCTCTGCAGACGGCAAAAGGTTAGTGAAAGTACACATCGGGGTTCAGTAAGGCATTCTAGGAAAGAATTTGGTGCTGGCTGCCTCTTTGGTGCTGCTCAGTTTATTTGCAGAGCTCAAAATTAGCAAAGGCCTATAATGATTAGCAGCTGGCCCAGTGCCCAGAAAGACGCCAAGTACTGGGCCTGGCATTCATTTTCTGTTGTCCCCTAGCTCTTTTTTTATTACCAAATCGATTCTTTGACAATAGTGCTTCTGTTTACAATGCTGATGATGCCAGAGTTATATGGAGAGGAAAACAAGCCTGGCCAGATATGACCTGGTCAGTTGCCCGGCCTGGCTCCAGCTTTCTCTTTTTTTTTTCTTTTTCTTTTTTTAGCTCCAAGCTATGCACCTGTTTACGCACCTGGCTGCCAAAGAGAATATGCAGAAGGATTTATTTTTAGTCTCCTTGTCTCAAAATGGCCACTCCTCCCTTGC